CACGATAAACCAACATGGGAACCCGAAGAATGCTTGAGAGGCTGCGACCGCGCCCTCCTGCAGTTTCACGAGCTGAACCCCAAGAAGCCCGGGCCCCCGACTTGGGTTGAGAAACCCCCCGCGCCAAAGAGGCCGCGACGGAGGCCACGAAACACATGATATGGGGATTACTTCTTCGGTTTGAGGACAAACCGGCTTGGGAGGGGGAGTACTGTCACGGCACTGGACCGCCGATCCCTAGGTCACGTGGCACATTGCACTTAGCTTCAGGTTCATCCATCCATAGCTTCCTTTCCTCTTCATAGAGCAACGCAGTTATCTTCCCAGACCTACTATGGTTCCGTGACACTGGCAGGATCGAATCGAAGTACTGTTGCATCCCAACTCGCACTACCGACTTTAAACCCAAGCCGCTCAAGAATGACGAAAGCCAACTCGATCTCGCCGCCTTCGGCCGATGAGGAGGTCATCCAACCCCAATCACGGCCCTGTAGAGTCCACTGATCGTACCGCGTCTCCTTCCACCACGCGGTGGCCATCAAAGCCTTTACAAAAGCGTCCCAAGCCGCCAGCTGGTCCGGATGATCCTGAACATTACCAAAAGAAAGCTGAAACTTATCGTTTTGAAACGACGCCATCGTCTCCCGTCGGCCTACGCCAACAATGCTTCTCCGCAACCGGTCTGCGAACCTAGAGAGGGGAGAGAGAACCAGGGTTAGCGACTCCGTCTGCGCCATCTCTTCCGAGGACCATCCTCCCGGAACTACGCCAGCAGGATTGCTGGACGGACCTACCGAACAAGACCTCCTCGCTTCCGCTCGTCCTTCGGGGAAAAAGAAAGAAAAGCGGCTATCGCAAGACAACGCTCCGTCCGTCGCTGGGCTGCTCTTCGAGCCTGTTGACCTGCTCACTCCGTTCGAGAAAAAACACTTGCCTCCGGCCTGTGTGAGAAGAGAGGAGAAAAAAACCCTCCGTCTGTCGGGGAACCGCTGGTTCTTGTGGTCGCCTCCTCCTGTCGGCTTGCAGGCCAATTTGCCTGTTTTGGCGGGGCTGCGTCCCTGGCCCCTGACCAATCGCCTTCGCCCTGCTCGGCTCCTACCCACTCCTCTCCTGCGGATCGGAATAACCCTCGTCCCGCCGTCCAATGTTGGGTTGGGGGACTGGGGGACTGGGGGAACTTATACAAACTATAGAGTAAGTTCCCCCCATACTTAACCCTGGAGTGGTTGATTGCTCTCGCACACATAACCCTGACCTGGTTGAATGCTCTCTATTGGTCGCATCGCTCACGCAAGGCCCACTTCCTGGGCAACCGACAACAAGTGTCGGCAGCTGTCGCTTAGTCAACTGATCGTTGGACGTAGGCAGAAAGAAAAACAAAGAAAAGTCTTTGGGTCTGAACGACCATCTACGTGCTGGGTTGCGGCTCTTGGTTGAACGATTCGCTGCGGCTGACGCCTACGCTCACGCTACAGGGCCTGGGCGGCCCCGTACCCCGCCTTTGACAGGGAAACAGAGCAAGAGGGAGTGGATGGTTGGGTCAGTTGAAGAGGGAGTGGATGTACGAGGTTAAGCCGTGTCGCAACCCCTTCTGGATGCTGTGCTTGTCGGCGAGATGCCGTGTCACGCATTCGCCGTTTGGCTGCAAGGCATAGCCGCACGGGCGGCAGATCACGGCGGGCTCGGGCGCATTGATGACCAGGCCTAGTTCCGCCAGACGGAGGTCGAGTTCCCGCTGAGGCCAACGACACCAGCGCGGCGGCAGGGACGACGCTGGATGATCACCCATCATACATCACAGACAGATGGAATAAAATAAGGAGAAAGAAACAGGTTAAGCTGCCGCGGCGGACGGTATATATCCTGACGTCTTGACCGGGGGGGCCGCGACCGAGGCACTGAGTAGTTACCCAGTTTCTTTCTGTTCTTTGCGGGGGGAAGACTGAGGCAGTCGGGGGCAGGAACGCGTCTCGACGATAGCTGAGCGCGCCGAGATATGGCCAACCAATGACAACGTCGAGAGAGCATGGACTGCATTGGGAGTACGTCGAGGACGAATCGGGCCGTAGCGCGTGGTAGCGTGTCGAGATTTGACCGGGGGCCAGGGGGGCGGACAGGGGTAAATTCGGGATGGAGGCAGCGAACTCGAAGAATTCCGTGTGGCCATCCTTGTGTATCGAGCGTTGGCGCAGCCTTGCCGGTCGGCGCCGAGCAGGCTGGTGCTAAAATTAGTTGTTCCAAAGTTGTCGGGCTGCAAAAGAGGGGGTCCAGAGAGTACGGGTGAGGGGCCCGACTTTGCATACACACCTCATCACGCCTGAACCCACAACGACGGAATACAGGCCCACCTGAACCCACAAGGGCCCCGGACTTAATAGGATTTCGACCGGCCTTCCGGAGCCGACTCCGGCGCAATAACCGATGAACCCAACCGGGCCGCGGCGCCCAGCCACGCGGGCCGGCTTCGAGATTGCCGTCATCTGCGCTCTCCCGATCGAAGCCGACGCCGTCGACGCCCTCTTCGACCTCCACTGGGACGATGACGGCCCGCCCTACGACAAAGCCGCGGGCGATCCCAACGCATACTCAACCGGCACCGTCGGCCGCCACAACGTCGTCCTCGCACACATGCCAGGCATGGGCAAGGCCAGCGCCGCCGCCGTCGCTGCCCACTGCCGCGCGAGTTTCCCCAACATCAAGCTCGCCCTCATCGTCGGCGTTTGCGGTGTAGTCCCCTTCCGGCCCGGCAGCAGTGGGACGTCCGAGACCGTGCTCGGCGACGTCATCGTCAGCGATGGTGTCGTACAGTACGATTTCGGACGGCGACTTCCCAAACAGTTCGAGCCGAAAGACACGCTTCTGGACGCACTGGGTCGGCCGAACACCGAGATCCGCGCGCTGCTAGCCAAGCTCAGTGGTCTTCGTGGCCGGAAAATGCTGCAGGGCAAGATGGCCGACTATATGGACGTGCTCCAAGACGAGCCGGAGCTAACGGCTATATACCCCGGTGCTACGCAAGACAGGCTGTTTGAGGCCACGTATCGCCATATCGCTGACGGAATGTCATGCGAAGAGTGCGGTTGCGACGGCACGCTGGTGCCGCGCACCCGCCTCGAGCAGGGCGATGGACAGCCTGCGGTCCATTTTGGCCTGATTGCGTCGGGCGACACGGTCATGAAGTCGGGCGAGGACCGCGACAACATCGCACGGCAGGCAGGTGTCATAGGGTTTGAAATGGAAGGCGCCGGTGTATGGGACGTCTTCCCTTGCGTGGTCATCAAGGGGGCGTGCGACTACGCGGACAGCCACAAGAACAAGGCGTGGCAGCGGTACGCGGCGGCGACGGCGGCGGCATGCATGAAGGCTTTCTTGGTCTACTATGTGCCTTCGGTACCAGGTGAGTTATGTCCCACTAAGGAGTATTGGGGAAGACCTTGTTGAAGCGCACCTGCTAAGTGTCGTAGGATCTCTTCCTCTTCCCGAGCAGCCTACCGGACCTTGGTGTGGGTAGAACCTTATGATTATATGTCGGACCAAGTTTGTGCTTACTATATAAAAAGTCCTTGTTCCCTATACCGAGAATATGACTTTCATTGGGCGGGAATCCATCCTCAATCAACTCCAACAACAGCTTTTGGGCCCGGCTCCGAAGATCGCGCTCTTCGGCCTCGGCGGTGTCGGGTTAGTTCTGGCGGCCTGCGTATAAAGTTCGTGCTGACCAGCACAGAAAAACGCAAATCGCTCTGGCGTATATATACCGGCTCCGACGGACGAGGCCAGAGGTTTCAGTCTTCTGGGTCCATGCGAGCAATGCAGAACGATTCCGGCAAGCATATGCGTCTATCGCTCAGGAATGCCAAGTACCGGGCTACGACGACCCAAAGGCAGACGTTTTATTCCTGGTGAAAGCTTGGCTGGAGAGGAACGATTGCGGCCAGTGGCTGATGGTCATCGACAATGCCGACGATATGCAGCTCTTCTTCGGACAGCATATGGGGCTTGTGAATGCTAGCTCTTCCAGCCATAAGGAGGGCCTCGGACGGTACCTCCCCGAGTGCCCGCACGGCGCTATTCTTGTCACAACCAGGAACAAGCAGGCCGGCTCGAGGCTGACCAAGGGAAAACGCCCCATCGAGGTCGGGAAGATGGACGAAGGTGAGACAGACCGGTTGCTCCGCGCACGCCTTAACGGAATCAGCGTTGATTTTAGGGAATCATCTGCACTTTCCGTCCGCCTGGAACACCTTCCGCTTGCGCTCGTGCAGGCAGCAGCATTCATCCAAGAGAATACTATAGATGTCAGCCAGTATCTTGAACTCTTAGACAACAGCGATCAATACCTCGTCGATCTGCTCGGCGAGGAATTTGAGATCGACGGGAGAGACTCGGAGACCCCTCGTGCAGTGGCTGAGACATGGATTCTCTCATTTGAGCAGATTCAACGGCAGAATGCCTTCACAGGCGAGCTTTTGTCGCTCATGAGCCTCTTCGACCGGCAGGCCATTCCGTTGGAATTCCTATCCCGTTATAGTGAGCAACGAGGACAAGAGCAAACGGGGGGGATACAGCTCACGAAGGCATTGGGGGTTCTAAAGGCGTTTTCTTTCGTAGTGGAGGAGAAGGATCATGGCTTGGACATGCACCGGCTCGTGCAGTTGGTGACGCGAAAGTGGCTCGTCAAAAACGGCCGGATGAGGCATTTTAGCGGGCAGGCACTGTTGGCGGTGTCGCACTGCTACCCATTCGGGCGGTATGAGGATTGGGCGATATGCAGCGCATACCTTGCGCACGCATATGCAGTGCTGGGCGGTGAAGGCACTGGTTCAAGGGACGAGAAGGCTGGAAGGGCGACTCTCCTGCACTCTGTTGCGGGATTCTACATGTACCGAGGCCAATGGAAAGATGTCGAGAGGTTCCAGGCTGAAGCTGTTGAGCTACGAGAGGAAGTTCTGGGGGCCGATCATCCCCACACGCTGATCAGCATGGGCAACCTGGCGTCGACGTATCGAAACCAGGGCCGGTGGGATGAGGCCGAGAAGCTGGAGGTACGGGTGATAGAGACGTTCAAGACGAAGCTCGGGCCCAATCATCCCGACACGCTGATCAGCATAGGCAACCTGGCGTTCACGTATAAGATTCAGGGCCGGTGGGAGGAGGCTGAGAACTTGGAGGTGCAGGTGATGGAAACTCGCAAGACGAAGTTCGGGCCC